GACCGTTCATTAATAACCCTTACTATTAGTCAAGTATAGAACAACGCCATATACCGACTTGATAGTAGCATTTAATCTTTTAACTCCTTGATGAAATCAATTGAGATTGATAACCTCAACACAACGGTTTCGGTTTAACCAACAAAGTTAATCCCTCTTAAGTTTATTAACCACAACCGTGCATTAATAAACCGAAGTTACTTACTTGTGAAACTATCAACGATTAACCATCGGTTCGTTGATCGTTTCTAGTAATAATTAATATATGAAACAAAACTAGTTGATCCTTTAAGTAATGTTCAAAATATTAATATGAAATATGAATAGGAATTAACTAATATTCAAGGAAGAATATTAAAGAAAATGAATCCTACTATAGTTAATATCAAGATGTTGACTAATTGTCATCTTAGTAACACTCCCTAATATTAACATAGAGAAAGGAATAGCTATTACTAAGACCAATGTCAAGATGTTAACTACTTGTCATCTTAGTAACACTCCCCAACATTGATATAGAAATAGTATTTAAAGGAAGAATTAATATTCAAGAAAAGAAGTTAAGAAAATAACTCACAACTTAAATAATCAACAAGCTTCAAGAGCAACACCAAGAAATGGAAGTTTAGCTCCTCATTTGGAGACTAAACATGCTATAAAAATATAAAAGAAATATTATTCTAAACTGAGCTTAAGAGTATGGAAGAAGGAGTTATTCTTTGTGAAGGAAAATGGGGTTATTTATAAGTGTTTTTCAACGCCTTGGGCCGGGTACCCGACCGGGTTAGGTGCTTACCCGACCGGGTCCGGTCAAAATCAGATATCCTCCACGTTCTGGCGATCTTCGGCACGTTCTGGTGTCCCGGGTCAAGTCTGACCCGACCGGGTCAAGTAGGGGACCCGACCGGGTCTAATGATTTTCCAGGCAGTTTCGGATTTTACATCAGACCCGACCGGGTGCATGGTCTGACCCGACCGGGTTTGTGCTCCTGGGCACACTTATCACCTTTTTCTTCACTTCATACTCTCCTTTTCCAACAACATAAATCCTAAATCTACTTTACAACTTATAAATGAAGACTAAAATACAATTATAACTAAAATCACACAAATGCTTACAAACTAAATAAAACAGTAAACAATCCACACAAATCAAACATAAAAACATACATTTATGCACTACTAATTAGTGCATATCAATGATCATAACAGTCAGAATATAAAGGTTGATCCGCACTTTTGAGCATTTCTTGAAATCTAGTGCCTAACACATCCACATCATAAAATGATGAACTTGGTCCTTCGTTCACATTATTGTGTGCGCTGAAATCACTATCCGTGTGGATATTGGGAAACGTAAAAGGACTAACCAAATCATAAAGCATTTTTTGCTCTCATACTATTTCTTCATAATTTCCCTAATTAGCCATCTCATCGGAAACATACCTCGATGTTCCTACGTATTGCGGAAACAACTCGGGCTCGATTGGTTCTCCTTGAGATGTCCAGTTGTAATAGTCTTCAACAAAACTATTCGTATATAAATGCCAACAAACATCCCCACATTCGACAAATTTGTTATTTTTACACTCTATACAAGGACATCTTATTTTACTTCCATCCATATACCGTGTTTGCCCTTGTGCAAATCTAATAAATTTGTTAACTCCATCGGTGAACACTTTTTTCAATCCTCTACCGTTTTCCTTGTAGCGGTTAACACCTAGTTTGTCTATACATTGTGCCTGAATATTAAAAAATATCTTAATGAATATTTTTTTGACAGTATATCTTAACGGAATTAATTTATTAAATTTACAAGTTAATATGTCAGGTTTTAAAGCTAACACTAAAACGCAATCAATATAATTAAGACAGATGATACTGATAACAACTCATAATATGGATCAAATTAATTTAAAAGCACAATGGTTGAAATTTACATACCTTAATTACAACGACGATACCTTTTGTAAGAAATCCAAACAGAAAACCTCCAGATATCAAGTAATATAACTTCCAACTTCTATCCAGAATTCATCATAGACAAAGATAAAAGACATAATTTTCTGAGATGTAGTTTGTTTCACACTCCAAATATGGTGTATTTGAAGAATTATTAGGCACGGAATTTGGCACGGAAATACACAAGCCAAAAAAGTACCCAACGGCCTTCATTGTCTCGGTTATTGGCACGGAAATATATTTGTTCGCAATACTCGTCACGGCGACGGAATTTGGGACGGCTAAATTGCAATCAAATTAACGGTTACATTTTGGCATGGAATTTGGGTCCGATCCTTTCGAGTCAAAGTAACGGCTAGATTTTGGCTCGTATATAAGGACGGAAAGGGGGTCAGGTGAATATGGTACGGTCCTGCCTCAGACTTTGTCACAGAAATACTTGTCACGGATATGTGCCGTGCCATATTTGAAGCGAAAACCGTCCACCTGTGGCTTACGCGGATTATGTTCTCAACCAAATAGTGACGGAATTTGCGATGGAAGTTCACGCAGGCCAACTGGTTTGCCCATTTTCGATCTTGGCACGGATTTAGGTTCGAAATGTCTGAGCCAAACTTTGAGGCACGGATAATTCCGTGCAAGGGCCGAAGTAAATCGAGTATTTGGGCTTTCCGAGCCCTAATCCGCGCCAATGCTGTCTAGGATTATTTGCGTGCCTATTTTCGTGTCTATAATGAGTTTTTTTTGTAGTGGTGGAGCGGGGATGGGGCGAGTCTTGGATTAACGTAACGGGGATGCGGCGGGGATGAAAGAAATTTTTAGACATAGGGCGGGATGGGGAGTGAACCCCCGCCCCAAACCCACCCCAGTGCGTAAGCGTATACGTCTTCGTATACCCCATTTTGTATGTGAAGTGGCCTGTAAAAAGTACTGAAAAAAGTTTGAGAAAGTCATGATTAAATTTGAAAATTTGAAACACTTTCCGTGAATGTCTCTGATCCATCTTCGATTGAGAACATGCACCTACACTATATATATACCCTTAATAGAGGGTAGGACGATGTATATATGTAGTGTTTCAAACAAAGAAGTAATAATTATATAAATACATATATATACACATAACATCTCATCCACATTGCTGCCAGTTGTTGTGAATCATGAAACAGGAGGAAGATCCAACGATCCCAAATCAGCCGCCTAGAGGTTCATGCAAATTCATTTGCTCCAAGTTAATTTGTTTATGTGATCAGGTCACATACATGCTTGTAGTAGTAAAAACTTTAAAGTTGTTTTATTTAGATTGTTTTTAATCTCAAACGAGACCAGACTTAAACGGATCAGGCCAAATTTTTATAGTTGGAAAATACACAGAGACCAGACATTTACCGGGCTAGTTTAGATCAAACTAGACCAGACTTAAACAGATCAGATCGAACCAGACCAACAAATTACAATCCAAGTAAAAACATCCTGATATTGTAATTTTATGTTTATCTCGATCGGTTGGTATGTATACACACATAGATAATACGGAGTAGTATAATTAACAAAATATGAATAAATTCGACTTTTGATCCTATGAGCTTGATGTCAATTCCACATTTAGTCCACGTCTTTCACGTTGTCCACTTTTGATACATGAGTATTGTGTTTTTTTTTTAATCTACACCATATTTCCGTGCCAAATTCCGTGCCTAATAATTCTTAGGGTGGATTGTTTGGTGTATTGTTTTTGTTCGCACGGAATTATTTGTTTGGCACGGTATTTCCGTGGATTCCACACAATCTTGTAGATTCCCCTTGTAGATTGTGGTGGATTGTTTTTGTATGTAGATTCGTAGAATTCCATCAAAATCCATTAAAATCCATCCAAATTAGTAACAATAGAAATCCATGGAATGTTTGAGGACACTCTTATTTTCATGGACTCCACAGAAATCCAAATCGGGGACAACTGGATTCTGACGGAATTCTAAACTCTTGTGTTCTTTCATCTTCCATCTTCGATCAAATTCACAGGTATATGAATAAAAATGATTTCAGTCATAGTGGAGAAATCTGGAGGAAGAAACCAAATTCAATTCTGAAATAACAATACAAAATACCACTTGTGTTGCTTTACACTTTACTCATTTGGAATCTGCAAATCTGAAGGAAGATATCAAAAGAGAGACTTGGACGGGAGGCCTTTGGATTCTACGAGAGTTCCAGATTCATCAAACTTTCTCCATTTTTAAAAACGATTTCAGTCTATTTTTATCTCTAGTGACCATGTAGTGGGAAAATGCTATCTCTATTGGGGACACCCCTTAGTCTCAAACCAGATCAGACTTAAACATATCAGGCCAAATTTTCATAGTTGGAAAATACACAGACATTTATCGGGTTAGTTAAAATCAAACTAGACCGGACTTAAACAGATCAGATCAGACCAAACCAACAAATTGCAGTCCAAGTAAAAACATCTTAATAATGTAATTTTATGTTTTGGTTGATATGTATCCACACATATAGATAATACGAAGTAGTATAATTAACAAAATACGGTTTTTTGTAAATATTGGAAAATAATCAAGCTGAAACTCTAGAGAGTGTGAGTATATATAAAGAAGATTTTGGAACATTTAAGAAGAATCTTCACTGAAAAAACGAGATCGAATGTAGAGCAGGCAATAATAAGATCTAAGATCTAATGACCTAAAAGTGACAGAAATTCTATGATTAAAAAATGAAGACGATTATGGTAACATTATCGTAGTTAAGTGATTTTTCGCCATGACAAGTGCAATGCATATAGACAAATATGTACCATTTCTTTCTGCATTGTACCATTATAATTTGTATCCATAAAATCTTCCTAAAAAAAGACAAATACTCCGTATGTATTGGAGATAAATCATAATAATATTAATATTTGTACTTAATAAACATTTATGTAATTATCTCATAGTTAGTTAGATAGCTCTTATCTCCTTATTTGTACTCCTATATATACCCTTGTATACTTCAAATGTTAAGTGTGAATATACATTATTCCTTCTCTCAAACTCTACATGGTATCACAGCCTTTGATCCAAATCAATTAATTTTTTTTTCCTTCGAGCCTCCATTCATGGCTTCACCGCCACCATCACCTACCACCGACACTACTTCCGGCCACATCTCTAATGATGTTCACGTTCCAAACAGCTCGGAACCTCACAAACCTCTCATTTCTGTTAATCTTGGGAATGTCATCAAACTTTCTCCCACAAATTACATCTCTTGGAAACTACAGATACAATCCATTCTTACCGGTTATGGTCTCGATGGTTTCCTGGATGGTTCTCATCCGTGTCCCCCTGCCACTATCACCACCAATGGTGTCATTCATCCCAACCCGGCTCATGTCTCTTGGGTTCGTCAGGATAAACTCCTTTTCGGCGCTCTTATTGGCACCCTCACATCTTCTGTTGTTTCTCTCATCACACGTGCCAACACTACCAAGGATGCATGGAATACTCTTTCTTCTGTATACGCTCAACCCTCCCGAGGTCATATCAAACAACTCAAGTCTCAACTCAAAAAATACTCCAAAGGTTCCAAGACTATTACCGAATACATGCATTTTATCAAAAACGCTGCCGATGAATTAGCACTTCTTGGGAAACCTTTGGATCATGAGGACTTCATTGAAGCTATCCTTGATGGTCTTGATGAAGGATACAAACTCGTATGTACATTATTCCTTCTCTCAAACTCTACAGTATGTACGTGTGTGTGGCCAAATGTATCTCGGGCATGTCTCTTTGAGATCATAGATTCGTTGTGAAAAAGAATATTCTGTTTTTACAACACTATATCCTGATTTTTAGTTATTTTTGCACATCACACATATATTTTTCAATGGGTACATATGTAATCGATGCAAACAAATTAAAAAAGAGAGAAAGAAAGTGGTAACTACAAAGAAATTATATTATTATAGTAATTGTGACTAGTGAATAAAATAGTAATGAAATGATAGTAACTTATTATATTCAATTTTTAAACTTGAGTTATTATGACACTACATTGCAGAAACTGCTAGTCATATTTGTGTAAATAAATTTTAGTTTAGAAATATTTTTGAAAAAACAAACCTAACATATACCACTTTTACGTAATCACAAAGTAACCCATGTTGCACCTCATCTTCTAGCCGTCGGAGTGAGGGTGGCGGGACATCACTAACTCATCGGCGTTGGTTGCTAGTGGTGGGTGGCTAGCGATGGTCACTATTGGATCAGGTTAGTGTAATGGATCAGATCTAGTAACTGGCCGGGTCGAGTAACTATATTTTAACCGACCGAATAGGATAACAGTAACTGGTTGGTCAAATAACAGGTCGGGGCAAGTAACTGTAACTGGTCGGGTCAATTAAGTGTAACTGATTGGACCGCGAAACTGTAAATGGACGAGTCGGATAACTGTAAGTGAATGGATCGGGTAATTGTAACTAAGGATGTTTTTACTTGGACTGTAATTTGCTGGTCTGGTTTGGTCTGGTCTGGTAAGGTCTGGTTTCTTTGTATTTTTATAACTATCCAAGTCTGGTCTGGTTTGAACTGGTCTGGTCTGATCTGGTCCGGGATAAATTACAGTCCAAGTAAAAACATCCTAATCAGGTCGGTTAACTATAATTGGTTGGTTCAGGTAATTGTAATTAGTTCGGTTGTGTAACTGTAACTGGGTAGGCAGAGTAACTCTAACTGAGGAGAGTATAAAAGTCATATAGGTCACTTTTTTGTAAGCATTTAAAAGTAGTTCTATTTTTATCTATGAGTTTCTATTCAGTAATATCAATGACAAAAACCCTAATAAGTATCCCGTGTTTTAGATATCTTTGCACATCAAAAATATAATTTTGTAATGGGTATGCACGTGATCAATGCAAAAGAATTAAAAACAGAGTAAGAAAATGGTAATTATTAGGAAAAATTGAAAAAAAAATCTCACATTAACTGGCGTTTTCCAAATAATATATATACCAACTTTAGCTCATCTCTTTTTTGGCAAAATCACCTTTAGGTAATCTGTAAATAATCATATATTTTACACCTAATATTCTTTCTATGGTGACATGTTATTTCAGATTTTTTTTGAATTTTTCTTTAGAAAAACCACATAAATAATTACACATTTCACCGACCTTTCCAAAATAGTCAATCTCATTTAAAAAAAAATTGCATTTCCTCACTAGAAGATTTCTATTATTGTTTTTTAATCATCTCGGCACTTTTTCCATTTCTTTCATCTTCTTGTTATTCTCTTTTTTGAACAATGTTCCCTCAATAGTTTTTACCCATCTTCTTTTTCTTCCCTATTTTTACGCTATTTCGTTTTTGATGTTTTACTATCCGGTAAATTCTTTTTCATTAAAGAATTTATTGGGCCCTACTCGTTATCTTCTTTATTTTTATTTCGACCATACTTTCCTTAGCTTTTTACTCTCCTTTTTCTACTACTTTTTTTCTTACTTATCCCTGATTGTTTTTTTTTATAATTCATTTTTCCATAGTTGAATCACAAAGAGTTTTTCTCGTAGTTGATGAAACTAATGTGTGGACTTACTTAGATAAATAAGATGACGTGGAAAGGAGAAGTTAAGGTAACAAGAAGAAACAAGTAGGGAAGATTGATTCTATATAATAAATAGATGGGGTGTTGCGTGGCCCCCACACCAAAACCTTCCGGTTCTGCTCTCACACCAGGATGCAAAAAAACAAGTAGGGAAGATTGAAAATAAGAAGAAAATATAGCAAAAATATATTTGGGATAAGATCTTTTGTGAAAAGGAATGAACTAGAAGAGAATGTAGAAAGGGAAATGGAATAAAAATACGTGAAGGAGAAGAAAAGGCAAAAAAAACTTGTCAAACATGAAGTTTTACAAAAAATTCTCATAATAGAGTGAAAAATAAAAACAAGAATAAAGGCGAAAAATAATTTAAAAAGTGTCAAGGAATAAAATAAAATAAAATAACAACCACGGGAAGAAAAAGATAAATGATAAGTAAGAATGTGGGATGATTTGAGAAGATCAATAACAGGTAAAATAAATTATTTAACTAGTTTATTTCAAAGAATAGATAAAAACATGACATAGCATGTCATGAACCGATTAGAGGCTAGCGAAAGAAAATGGATTGCAAAAGTGTGATTAGTCTGAACTTACACAAATGTGAGTTTTTCTGAGAAAATTTGGGAAAGGTAAGATTATTGTTATCAATTTTATATTATTATATTATCAAAAAGTATCAAAGTACTTGAAAGAATTGTTATGCGTTATGGATCCTTCAAAGATTTTAAATATCCTAAAATTTATGAAGGATTCACGTTTATTAACACAGTTTTAAAAAATAAAAAGAAAATGTCCTTAATAGGAACAAAGAGTGAATTCCAAAATACGATTATCATATTTTTATTCAGATAAATCACAATCATGTTTTGACATTATCAGACTTTAAACATGTCAAAACTTTTCAAGCTTGACGCCATTTACTTATATTTAGGGAATAAAACATGTCCTATTCTCTAGTTGCAATGGTATAATGTTTTTCTTGAGAGAAATGGTACAACGTTATTCATTTACAAAAAATTAAAAGAACTTAAAAAACATCATAACTTTCCGGCGGCTTTTCTGTTGGTGGTTCCTACGACCCAAATGGAAGCTAAGCAACAATCTAAACTAGGGCTTTGAGATTCATGAAAATTGTGGACCTCTTCATTTGTTACAGTCTTTTTCATCCGGTGAAAATGATCAAGACATCTTCATTGTCTGTCAAAGCAAGACAGAGGCGTCAGATCCTCAAGACTACAAAGGCAGACATGTTTATTTGATGAGATTATTATTATTAATAATAATAATAATAATAATAATAATAATAATAATAAATTAACTCTATAAATCAGCTAGTAGTTAGGTTGTTAAGTACTACTAATTCCAAGCTTTGTGGTGTTGGAAAAATAAAGGTTATCCTGGTGCTGCCGTTCCCCTGCCCGAAAAAGAGAAGATGATTTATAAGTTCTATATGCCCAAAGGAAGTTATAAATGTTGCTGCTGCAGAATTTTATGCCCGCCACAGAAGGGATGTTGTTGTTTCCCATGGCCTAGTTGGTGCAAATAGAAACGTGAATCACATGTGTCCAGGGCCCTTTCGATAGATGGATCGAACAAGTCACACGTGCGAATTACATGTATACTCATATGCAAAATAACTCTATTATTTTGCACATTAATATAACCCACATTATTATATATAGGTGCAACTAGTGTTGAACCTGGGTGTTGCCCCGAGTGGTGTTGGTACTTTTCATATATGGTTTTATAAATGATATTTAAAACTTATGAATTTGGATTGCTCTTACCCAACCGATTTTGGTGGGCTTCTCTCTGGATTAATAAACTTGTGAATTGGTGAAATGTAGAATTGATGAAACCCCTCTTAATATAAAAGTTATGCATATGATCTCATCGTGATTCAAACAATGTTCAAACCCATATATTATAGTTAATCACTCATCTCATACTCTCAATGATAATGATAAATTTTCATTGAGAAAATATGTGTCTTAGGATCAAGTAAACATGCACGTAATTTATTTAGGGAGTGTTTGCAAATGTTTTTGCTCAAAAAAACACTTTTTAAAATGATGTTGGAAAAAGTGATTTGGAGAAAAAGTTGATAGTGTTTGAGAAAAAAGTGATTTTAAAAAGTAAAAGTTGGCAGTGTTTGGTAAAATAAGTGCTTTTTTGTAATAGAAAAAGTAAAAAACACTTTCAGCTAAAGATCGAGAAAAGTTTTTTTTAAGTAGAAGTTGTAATGTGAAAACACACATGTTAGCCTTTTTAAGCCAAAAGTAGAGAAACGCTTTTTTTTAAGTGTTTGCAAACACTCCCTTAGATATCTAAATGTTAAAAATATTAAAGACTTTTGTTTTATCCAATCATTATATTTGTTATCAGAGAATAACTCATGTAAGACTCATCACAACACATGATTTTTTATGTATGTTTTGAGGTATATGTGGATAATGTGGATAACCAACATATAAAGGGGATTTCAAAGAATAAACTCAAACTAAATGACAGTTTAGTTTAATCAATTTTCATTTTAGCCTATTAAATTTTGATAGGGTCTCCTATAAGTTACTACTATTATTCTTAAGAGTCATACAATATTACAGAATGAATTTAGTATTTTCAATCAATGTTTTGTTGGTGCTTTTCATATATATGGTTTGTGTCTGGTTCATTTGAAATGCAGATCATTACTAAATTTAAATACTCCAATTCTTTAATAAGTTCAAAGTCATCAATCACATATTTACTTGTATGTATATAATAATAAACATCATGAACATTCATCCTATATGTGATTTCAGAATCATGAACAACTATTTATTTCAAAATACAATTCACTATGGTGAGGGTAAGAAGTTTGAGAAATTTAGTGTCGTTTGATGATCGAACTCTTTTTACTTAACAAATTATCTCTTGGATTTATGAAATTAAAATAATTTGAGTATATTTGTAGACTAGTTTTACTACGCGTGATGCGCGAGAGGAAAATGCCCAATGCTATTTTCGTAAGAGTAGAAATGTTAATGGTTATTACTCGGTATAATTTAGTTGTTGAGTAAATTAAGACTCATCCGATTGTTTTTTATAAGCAGACGTATTTATATGACACTTTATTGAGTACATGACCTTAATTATGTGACGATTTCATAATAGTAGAAGGCCTTATTTGACCTTTTTCTCTTTAGTTGTTTGAAATTGAACTAAAACATTATACATAATTTTTTCTATAACATGAATTTTAAAAAAGAAATGAGATTTTTAATTTCTTTGTCAAAAAAACAAGATGGCTCCCATTACAACCCATACGAACATAATACTGCGTATCAACGATGTAAAGAGTCCAAGAAAGAGTAATGTAAATGATTGGGTTTATAGTGAATCTAGAACAATGTCTCATTTTAAAACATGAATCCAATAGCCCAAAATATGTAATCCCTCTGCCACCTAATTTTGTCATGTTTTTCTTTTTCGTCTGTCCCATTAAATTTGTCTCGTACCATATTTTGATATATTCATGTGGTTACAATTCATTCTTAATTTGTTCACACTTTATCTAGTTGATACCAACCACACAATTTCACTTTTTCTTAAAAGTTGTGTCACACTCTCTTGTCCCAAACATATATAATGAGACAGAGGTAGTAGTAATTAAGGAAAATTCCCGAAATGGGACTAAAAATGTTCATAAATTCCAAAATAGGACTGTCATGTTTTTATTATCAAAATAGGAGTAATTACTGTCAAGTTTGGAAAATACTGCCATGTTTAAAGTTTAGTACTGCCAAACACATGGCAATAATTAGTTCCATTTTGTGGATAAAAACATGACAATCCTACTTTTGGAATTTACAAACGTTTTTAGTCCTATTTAGGATAAAATTAAGATGGAAGTCCAATAACGAATTATGATTGAGCACAATACCAGTGCTAATGAAATGAGTTAATTTGCCTCTCTAATAACATATGAAGTAAAATATTACCACAAAGATAGAGATCGACGTGGGCGGCGGGGATGATGATTTACATGTATATGTTCATAATTATCAAATATGTGTACACATACACATGTAAGGAAGTACCAAATCAAACTTTAGTCTGAGTAATGACATTATCATACGTACACTTATGTTTCTATCTAAATCAAATCAAGGCATATTATTGTGGTGAATTCGGGACATTTTGAATGAAATTGATGGCCTAGTGACATTATAGAAACTGGATTTATCTTAGTTTAGTACTTTACGTGCAATAATGCATTTTCTTTATAAAGTCCACCATGCCGATGTCGTATGACCGTATCGACGACAAAAAGGAGTTTTTCTTAAAGGCTATGGCGTTACCTAAGGTTATTCTAATTCTTATATCTAAAATGAAAATCAGCCAATAGAAACGTTTATTATTGCGTATCATTTCTAAATATGTTTGCATGTACACCTATATATGAAATCTCTTAAATAAACCAAATTGCAAGTCTTGTGACCCTTATTGGCATGACAAGGTCGGAGTTTTAGGTATTAGACTAATGTTGGTTACTAAAATTGGTCATTTCATCCTTCAAAAAAAATTGGTCATTTCAATTTATGTCATCATCATTGAATTTTTCCCTGCTAAGTATGAGTTTAATTTTCGTAGCTCCCATCCATGTGAAGTTTTAAAATAAGAAAAGGATGACACCCCATCCCTGAGGCCCCCCCAACACCGACCGGACGGCACGATGGGAGGATGTAAATTGAACTATAATCACAATCTGACAGATAGAGAGTGGGGCTCTGTCCCCGGTACTTACAGAGGCCCTATGCATTTTTCAGCATAGTAACCCCTCATCGTAGTTGCCGGGATTCGAACTCGAGACCTAACCCTTGTGGCACTCCCTCGCTACCAGTTGAGCTACGCCCACCGGTAAACTAAGGTATTGGTAAACTTTTTATAGTGACTAGCTCAACCGCTTTCACGGCCCCTTACCCCAGAAACACAACTTTGGCTTGGCCCTACGGGTTAGTATACACCGCTTGGCCCTACCACTTGAAGGGGTTTTTGGGGGAGCATAGTTCCACTGGTGCTAGTGGGACTCGAACACGAGACCTCTCCTATGCAAGGATAACCTCACAACCAGCTAAGCTGGAAGTGATGGTTAAAACTAAGGTATGGGTAAACTTTTTATAGTGACTAGCTCCACCGCTTTCACGGCCCCTTACCCCAGAAACCCAACTTTGGCTTGGCCCTACGGGTTAGTATACACCGTTTGGCCCTACCACTTGAAGGGTTTTTTGGGGGAGCATAGTTCCACTGGTGCTAGTGGGACTCGAACACGAGACCTCTCCTATGCAAGGATAACCTCACAACCAGCTAAGCTGGAAGTGATGGTTAAAACTAAGGTATGGGTAAACTTTTTATAGTGACTAGCTCCACCGCTTTCACGGCCCCTTACCCCAGAAACCCAACTTTGGCTTGGCCCTACGGGTTAGTATACATATTTTTTAAAAAAAAAAATAAGAAGGTTTAACGTGAAATCAATATAATTATGTTTTGGCCACCTAACCCACCTTCAGTATGAAATTAGAGGAAGTATGATGACATTCAAGACGTGATAAGTGGTTATCAATTAGAGATTAAGCATTTAATCATATTAATAATTCATTGGTAGTATATATTTCATCTTTTCCATAATCATATATTGACTTCTTGAGGATATACAAACACGTAGTTTGGGTGAGAAAGAGAGGCACCAGTTCATGATTTGTTCAATTTTTTAAGCTAATTCTTCACCTTTAAAATGAAGAGAGAAATTTACACAATGAGGAAACCAAACTACGAAATAAAGCTCATGTAGCGTACTTTACATTGCTTCATAGAGTAGGTCTGGCTTACCAGCTGCTTTAATGAGCCAAATAGGTTAATGCCTTGAAGGGCTTGGAACGAAAAAAGATGGAGATAGTTATAACAGGGTAAGGATTACTAACGGAAGGATGCCAACCGTTACTTCGAAAGTATAAATTAATGAAATAGAGTACAATGCTTTAATCAGATGGTACATACTCATCTAGCTCTGCCATTACACCAACACATTTTTTGTACCCAAAATAACCCTACCCCTATTCATGCTTATAATTTTGTAAAGCTATGTTATTTATTAAAGACTAATGACTTGATAAGTCCGTATTTAGACACGCATTTGATGCGTGTTCGGGTCGGATTTTGATGATTTTCCTGGCTTTAAGGCATTGTAAGTCTCAATTTTGGCTCAAGTTGTGTTTAGCAGGCGTTGGATCGAGTTTCATTGCATTTGGAGTTGATTTGAAGAAGTTAGAGTCCGGCAATCGGCGCTTGAGAGGCATTCGGGAAGGATTTGAAGGCATTCGAGAAAGATTTGGAAGATTTGGAGGCCACCGGGAGATTCGCGACGAAATTCTGGTGAAGAAAGAGCATTTGGATCGACCTCGTAGGCATCCGGGAGCATTCGGAGCAAGAAAACGAAGGAAAAGTGAAGAATAGGGTCAGGCACGGTCGTGCCTGGAGTTAGGCACGCCGTGCCTGATGCGAAATTATCCTGCGAGCTACTGGAGGCGAGGCACGGTCGTGCCTGGCAGCTAGGCACGCCGTGCCTGGCATATTTCGAGGAACCAAGCTACTGGAGGCCAGGCACGGTCGTGCCTGGCAGCTAGGCACGCCGTGCCTGGACGCGAAATTCGGCCTTCTTCCGTAGGCACGGTCGCAGGCACGGTCGTGCCTGGCACCGTGCCTGGCCACGATTTGTCCTAATTCGACCCAAATTTGTTGATTTCTATAAATAAGGCCTCCATACCCACTTTTCGGGGTTACGAACTTTGGAGAGAGGCCTAGGGACGAGTTTTACCTGCGT